TTTTTATAAACTGTATGTAAAGCCCCCTTGGCCAGCGTGATGAAGTGAATGAAGAAAAAAGTTTTTTTTTTTTGGGCCATCGTGCCTTGGTGGGAATCAGCCGGTGTGTAATAAAAAAAAATCTATTAAAAAAATAGAAGAAAACTCACATGTTTTGTTTCCCATATGTGCAATGTGACCTAATGTAGCAAGATGTACCGTTATCTTGTGTGTTTCTTCTTCTTCCTTCAACAAACCGGCCGTATCCCACCGAGACAGGGTGCCTCCCCCCCCCCCGACCACACACACACAAAAAAAAGTTTCTCTTTTTAGATTTAGTAATATATACAGGAGAAGGGGTTACTAGCCCCTCGCTCCCGGTATTTTCAGTTGCCTCTGGTGACACACATGGCTTTCTGAGAAAGAATTTTGTTCCACTTCCCCATGGAGATAACAGAAATAAACGAGACAAGAACTAGTAAGAAAACAGAAGAAAATCCAGAGGCGTATGTATATACATGCTTGTACATGCATGTGTATATGACCTAAGTGTAGCAAAATGTACCTGATATTGTATGTGTTTATCAGACAGAAAAGACACCACCAATCCTACCATTGTGCAAAACAATTACAGGTTTTACAAGACAGCAGTACCTCCCTGGGTAGTTGCTGTCTGCCAACCTGCTATCTATATGAAAATATTTATCTTACACAATTATATCTCTTTGCTACTCAAAGTAAATTACCTTGACTCTCATGGAGGGAGTAAAGGTAATTGTGGTGGGTTGGAGCTCTGCGTCTGTGAGGAAGGAATAGTTGTGGGGGTAGACTTATCTCCAGGCTGGTGAAAAATTATACTTTGAAGCATAAGGAACATCCTCTTGTTGACTTTTTGTGGGCACAACATAGATGCTTCTCCCAAGGTGAACAAATGCCTGCAGAAACCATCAGAAAGAAATCTCAAAATATATTACCCTCAAATTACTTCACATATAATCACCTTATAACACAAAGGACATTATTTGCTTGCACACCTTTTAATGTAACTTAAGTCTAACATAAACTTCTGAAAAATTTCACTGAATCGTATTACCTAAAAAGTTTCTCTTCTCCAATACTGTCCAGTGGTCCAGAATTCTCAAATAAAACATACTTAAGATGTTCATCACAAGTCTTCAGAATTGGTGCTGCCCATTTCTCAATGGCTTTCTGACCTGAAATACATCAACATTTTTCAAGTTAAATGCTCAATAAAGTGTAATGCAAACAAGTAGTAAAAGACTCTTAATGCAGGAAGCCTTTATTGATACAATGTTTCACCCACTTGTAAATTCCATAAGGCTATAAATTAATTTAAAACAGTGTACCAATAAAAGCTTCAATGGATTGGATATCTTTCACCATTTTTTACTACAGTAAATGCAAAAAGCAAAATGAGAAATATTTTGATCACTAGGGTTAAATTAATTATTCAGTGATCAAAGCATTAAAGTCAATGTGCAAGCATTTGACAAAGTGTGACTTTGTCAATGTCCCAAGTCGGACCGAAACGTCGTTGTAAGCTTCTCTTTTTATGTGCGGGTTTTATTTGTGTATTGTGTATTTGAAAAAGAATCTGTGATTTTCTATACTTTTTTTTTTCTTAACACATGCCATGTTAACCCCTTTAACTGTCCAGACCCCCAATCAGAAACTGTCCACAATGTCCAAGAATTTAAAAAAAAAAAATTATATTTTCTTAAGAATGTTTTTCTGAGGGTAATAAAAAAAATGAATGAAATTTGTTGGAAAACTGTAAAATTATGCTCTTGCAAATTTTTGTTGCATCGCAATATTTATGCATTGGTGCTTCTTACCCACTTTGAGTCCAATTTTAGCCAATTACATTTTTTCCAGTCGACCCAATTCTTAAATATTTTGCCTGTATGTCTTTCATTTTACTGAATGAGCACAAGAAATAGCCAATCAACTATTTCAACTAACCAATAAATGATTAGAAATTGGAAATTTTTTGCCAATTTCACCACAAATTAAAAAATATTCAAATTTCAAAGTAGGGTTTAGAATAAGCAAGCAGGTAGTCCTGGCACTAAAATAAATTTCCTCTTTTCATTTGTTACATTCCTAGGCTTTACAAATGAATTTCATTTTCATTTTTTATTCAAAAAAAATTTTTTTATTCACACAAAAAATAGAAGATTTGCTGTTATGCAATATTTTAATAACTGTATAAATAGTAGTAGGTTGATAGACAGCAACCGCCCAAGGAGGTACTACCATCCTGCCAAGTGAGTGTAAAACGAAAGCCTGAAAATTGTTTTACATGATGGTGGGACTGCTGGTGTCCTTTGTCTGTCTCATAAAATGCAAGATTACGGGTATGTCTTGCTACTTATACTTACACTCAGGTCACACTACACATACTTTGAAACACGTTTATTTATACACACTCATTTGAGTTTTCTTTGACTTTATCTTAATAGTTCTTGGTCTTATTACTTTCCTTTTATATCCATGGGGAAGTGGAATAAAATAATAAGAATTTTTCCTCCGTAAGCCATGCGTGTTGTAAAACCAACTAAAATCCCGGGGAACAAGGGGCTATTTAACCCCCTTTTCCGTAAAGATTACTAAAAAGAATAAGAAGAAAATTGTCAAAGTGGAAAGTCGAATGTGCGTGGATGTTGTGAAAATGATAAAAAAAAGAGATGATTGGGATGTTATGAAATGAGAAGCTGGATGTCCTGGCTTTAAGTGAAACAAAGCTGAAGGGGGTGGGGGAGTTTCAGTAGAGAGGAATAAATGGGATTAGGTCAGGGGTTTCAAATAGAGTTAGAGCTAAAGAAGGAGTAGCAATAATGTTGAAGATAAGCTATGGCAGGAAAAAAAGGACTATAAATGTATTCATTCAAGAATTATGTGGAGTAAAATAAAGGTTGGATGTGAAAAGTGGGTTATAGTAAGCGTATATGCACCTGGAGAAGAGAGAATGTAACGAGAGAGAGATTTTGGGAAATGTTGATGAATGCGTGGGGAGTTATGAACCAAGTGTGAGAGTACTTGTGGTTGGGGATTTCAATGCTAAAGTGGGTAAAAAAAGTTATGGAGGTAGTATAGGTAAATTTGGGTGCCAGGGGTAAAAAGTAAATGGGGGGCCTTTAATTGAGCTATGTGTAGAAAGAGATTTGGTAATAAGTAATACCATATTTTATGAAAAAGAGGGTAAAATAAATATACAAGGTATAATGTAGTTTTCTAGATTATATATTGGTGGATAAAAGGTTTTATGGTAGGCTCCAGGATGTACATGTTATAGAGGAGCCACTGATATATCAGACCATTTTTTAGTTGTAGCTACAGTTAGAGTAAGAGGTAGATGGGACAACGAAGTGGCAACAACAAGTAAGAGAGAGGTGAAAGTGTATAAACTAAGGGAGGAGGAAGTTCAGTTTAGATATAAGCGACTATTTGGGAGAAAGGTGGGCTAGTGCAAAGATGAGTATTGGAGGCTTGAAGAGGGTTGGAATAGTTTTAAAAATGCAGTATTAGAATTGGGGCAGAAGTTGGTTTGGGTTTTAGGAGGGTGGGGGCAGGAGGAAAGAGGAGTGATTGGTGGGAATAATGAAGTAAAGGGTGTGATAAAAGAGAAAAAGTTAGCTTATGAGAGGTTTTACAAAGCAGAAGTGTTTAAAGAAGAGCAGAGTATATGGAGAGTAAAAGAAAGGTTTAAGAGAGTGGTGAGAGAGTGCAAAAGGAGAGCAGATGATAGAGTGGGAGAGGCACTGTCCAGAAATTTTAATGAAAAATAAGAAAATTTTTTGGGGTTAAACAAATAAGAAAGCCTAGGGGACGCATGGATTTGTCAGTTAAAAACAGAGTAAAAACATAGTAGGGGAGTTACTAGATGGGGAGATGGAGGTATAGGTAGATGGCAAGAATATTTTGAGGAACTTTTAAAAGTTGGGAAGAAAGGGAGGCGGGAATTTCATGCACTGGCCAGGAGGTATACCATCTTTTAGGAGTGACGAAGTGCAGAATGTAAGTGTGGGGGAGGTAAAGTGAGGCATTATGTAGAATGAAAGGAGGTAAAGCAGCTGGAACTGATGGGATCATGACAGAAATGTTAAAAGCAAGGGGGGGTATAGTGTTGGAGTGGTTGGTACTTTTGTTTAATAAATGTATGAAAGAGGGGAAGGTACCTAGGGATTGGCGGAGAGCATGTATAGTCCCTTTATATAAAGGGGAAGGGGGACAAAAGAGATTGTAAAAATTATAGAGGAATAAGTTTACTGAGTATACCAGGAAAATTGTACGGTAGGGTTATAAATGAAAGAATTAGAGGTAAGACAGAAGTAAGGATGCGGATGAGCAAGGAGGTTTCAAGTGGGAGGGGGATGTGTAGATCAAGTGTTTACATTGAAGCATATATGTGAACAGTATTTAGATAAGGTAGGGAAGTTTTTATTGCAATTTAGGAATTAGAAAAGGCACAGGGATAGAGTGGATAGAGGAGCAATGTGGCAGATGTTGCAAGTATAACGATAGGTGGTAAGTTATTAAATGCTGTAAAGAGTTTTTATGAGGATAGTGAGGCTCAGGTTAGGTGTGTAAAAAAGGGAGACTACTTCCCGGTAAAAGTAGGTCTTAGACAGGGATGTGTAATGTCCCATGGTTGTTTAATATATTTATAGATGGGGTTGTAAAAGAAGTAAATGCTTTGGGTGTTCGGGAGAGGGGTGGGGTTAAATTATGGGGAATCAAATACAAAATGGGAATTGACACAGTTACTTTTTGCTGATGATAGTGTGCTTATGGGAGATTCTAAAAAAAAAAATTGCCAAGGTTAGTGGATGAAATTTGGGAATGTGTATAAAGGCAGAAAGTTGAAAGTGAACATAGAAAAAGAGTAAGGTGATGAGGGTATCAAATGATTTAGATAAAGAAAATTGATATCAAATTGGGGAGGAGGGTATGGAAGAAGTGAATGTTTTCGATACTTGGGAGTTGACGTGTTGGCAGATGGATTTATGAAGGATGAGATTAATCCTAAAACTGATGAGGGAAAAAGGTGATGGTGCGTTGAGGTATATGTGGAGTCAAAAAACGTTTTCTATGGAGGCAAAGAAGGGAAAAGTATGAAAATTTGTTGTACCAACACTCTTTTATGGATGTGAAGCTTGGGTGTAAAAGCAGCAGCGAGGAGACGGTTTGAGGCAGTGGAGATGTCATGTCTAAGGGCATGTGTGGTGTAAATATTATGCAGAAAATTCGGAGTGTGGAAATTAGGAAAAGGTGTGGATTTTAATAAAAGTATTAGTCAGAGGGCAGAAGAGGGGTTGTTGACGGGGTTTTGGTCATTTAGAGAGAATGGATCAAAGTAGAATGACATGGAAAGCATATAAATCTGTAGGGGAAGGAAGGGGGGGTAAGGGTCTCCTTGAAAGGGTTGCGTGAGCGGTTAGATAGGAGTGAATGGAGACGAATGGTACTTGGGACCTGACGATCTGTTGGAGTGTGAGCAGGGTAATATTTAGTGAAGGGATTCAGGGAAACCTTTTAATTTTCATATAGTCGGACTTGAGTCCTGGAAAAGGGAAGTACAATGCCTGCACTTTAAAGGGGGGGTTTGGGATATTGGCGTTTGGGGGATATGTTGTGTATCTTTATACGAAATTGCTTCTAAACTGTTGTATTCAGCACCTCTGCAAAAACAGTGATAATGTGTGAGTGTGGTAAAAAGTGTTGAATGATGATAAAAGTATTTTCTTTTTGGTGTTTTTTCTTTCTTTTTTGGGTCACCCTCCCTCGGTGGGAGACGGCCGACTTGTTAAAAAATTTATCAGCGCATTCATGAACAGTGGCAAAAACCTAACATTACTGCTGCTTTGTGCTCAATTTCAAGCTGTTTTCAATCCTGGAACCAATCAAAATCATCTCTATTTCTGTAACATATCTTCTATTCTATCAAATGAGACCAAGAAACTGAGAATACAAACATAAATATATAAAAATAAACTACAAATTCGCTATTTTAAACAAAAAATTGTCAGAGTTTTTTTCATTATGCACTGTGTGCTGCAAGATTTTTTTATATGGTATACACTTATCACACAAACCCATTCTCTCATATCCAGGTCCAAATTTACCACTCACAGCTTATCTGAATAAGCTGAACTCATGGCATGGTACTACAACACTGACAGTGACCTCAAAGCAGTAATACTAGGCAGTCAGCAAAAGGATTAACTGAGGTAAGGCACTCAAAAAGCAGAAAGACTTCCACCATCACTCATTCCCAAATTACCGTTTTGACAGAAGAAATACATTAGTTCACATGACCCCCCCAAAATGCAGCATCCCATACCTCCTTTTAGAGTGCAGGCACTGTACTTCCCACCTCCAGGACTAAATCCAGCTAACTGGTTTCCCCAAATCCCTTCATAAACATTACCTTGCTCACACTCAAATAGTATGTCAAGTCAAAATCCCATTTGCTTTTCAGGTCACCCTGCCAGGGGGTAAACTGCTGCAGTGTTAAAAAAATATAAAGTATATACAGGTATTATGCTTATTTATAAAAAACTGTACATTATACAGAAATTTTAAACAAGCCAGCCAATTCCCACTAAGGCAGGGTGGCCCAAAAGGACAAACAAAAGTTTCTCCTTTTAAATTTAGTAATATATACAAAGGGGTTACTAGCTCCTTGTTCCCGGCATTTTGGTTATCTCTTACAGCAATTATTCCTAGGTTTTTTTACTTGTTCCCCATGCTCTAATGAGATGGTCTGTGGGGGTTCTGTATTGAATCTCCACCAAGACATATATTACTGGTTGTAACAGTTTTTTAAACCTCCGATGCCTTTTCGGCACTGTTCTGAAGATCACTGAGGCAGAGTGCCCTAAAAAAAAAAATGAAAGTTTTTTTTTAACTTTAGTAATGTATACAGGAGAAAGGGTTACTACCCCTTGCTCCTGGCATGTTAGTTGCCTCTTACGACATGCATGACTTACTGAGGGAAAAAATGATACCAGTTGATGAGATTTATTTAAAACAATTACTCGTTCTGTATACACATCTACAGGGTTTTTCTAGTTATGAAATGACCCAAGAGTTATAAATGAGTCAGGAAGAAATTTTGAAAACACTGGATATGTTGTCTTCAGTTGGCAGAAGAAAAATAGGATATGATAACCACATTTAAGATTATAAAAGAACATGAAAAAATTGACAAAGAAAACTTCTAACTCAGAGATATTATGGATATTATGGAACAAGCTGGCATATAGCCAACAGGATTGAGCGAGACAAATGCAAAGCCCAATAAGCTTTCCTCTGCATTTATGTCAACTGCAATTGAAAGGATACTACAGTACAAAGTTTTTCCCTCACAAACAATGAATGAACATAGAAATGCTATATAAGAGAAGGCAGTAAATGCTACAATTGGAAACTTTTGTAAAGTACATTCAATATTGAAGAATACAGATCTGCTATTGTAGCTACACAAACCAACATACTCCTCAGCAACCCAGCTTATGCCTATACACCTCATACTCCTTTTTTTTTTTTTTCCAACACGTCGGCCATCTCCCACCAAGGCAGGGTATCCCAAAAAAGAAAAACGCTCTCACCATCATTCACACAGAATCTCATACTCCTACCTACAAGAAATAACTCTTACATACCCAAACAACTTGTACACCCCTATAACTCACTCTCACATTCCTCCATATAATCCGCACACTAAAAATTCTTTCCTACACTTTCCCAATACGTTTACACTTTAATACACAGTACAAATAAGAGAGTACTCACTTCTTCACTGCAGAAGATTAAAAGAGAGAAAGGAAGGGGAACAACTTGGATATTTATTCCTACCACTGTTTTCTCTCGTAAGATATGCAAGTACATATAACTGGCAGGAGATATTTTGGGATATCAGGATATTCTGCTTGATCATTTGAACACTGAAATATACATACTTTTTTTTTTAAACCACATTATTCAAATATTACACTAAAAAATATAAATGATTTGCACATAAAGAGAATTCTCACACCTTCTGCATCATCACCATGAAGACTGTAGCTGAGAAGTGTTATAGTATCCATCATATGGGATATGAGCTCTGCACCAACAGAGAAATTTGTGATAGGTGCCAAAAGTTTTCTTGTAAGGCTTCTGCGACGATTCCCAGGTATATGCTTGATACTGTTGCTTAACACTTTTAATACTTGTAGAAGAGTGTATGATCCTACCTGAGAAAAAATTAAAATTCATGGGTAAAATTGGATATAGTTTTGATGAGTGAAACTTGATTAGAATAAGACGATGACAGTAATTACGTAGTGTGTTCCCTTTTTCGCAAAAAAAAAAAAGACACATTCCTGAAACTCATTTAAAATTTAAGTATTTATAACTCAAAACCTACCTAGTAGTATAGGCTAGTAAGCCTGCTTGCTGCAGTGTTCCTCCATTCATATTTTCCATAGACACTCATATAAGGGTTTCTCAATGTACAAACAATTAGCACTAGAACAACAAAAAGACAAACCAACACCTAAAAAAAAAAATTCAGTGTCAGTGTCATTCAATTGCTGAGTGGTGACATCAAAATTCAGACAACTCTCCAGATTAAACATACACAACCCTTCTCTCAGAGTGCAGGCACTGTACCTCCTACCTTTGGGACTACGTCCACTAACGGTTTACCAGAGTCCCTTTCATAAATATCCCTTTGTTCAAATAATACATCAAGTCATAAAGCCCACTTACCTCCACTCACTACAAGCTCACACATGCCTATGGGATGTCAACATAGCACTCAAAACCTCCTTTAATCCATAAACACACTAACCTTTCCATAGAGGCTCCTTATCCCTCCCTTCTTTCACACCAGATTTATAAATCTTATTTAGTCACCTTATTTAGCTCCATCCTCTCTAAATGGCTAAACCACCTCAAAAGCCCCTTCTCAGCTCTCTGAATGATACTCTTGTGCCTAACTCACTAGGACTTTGCCTGGCATGGGCGAGCTCTACCACACTGATGCACCATATACCTAATAAATCTGGAAAAATAAACATAGAAGCAGTATAATGTGATCCTTTACTGACAACATTTTTGCACACACAGGGGGCTTTATCAAGTTACAAACAGATTTACCTGGGTGAAAGGTACGTGATTATAGTATATAGGATGGAGTCAGGTGGAGAATGCTGGGCAGTTTGATCTGAGCCTGCATGTAACAATTTAGATCTGTTTGTGACTTCATAAAAGTCCACTGTGTGGGCAAAACGTTGTCAATAAAGGATGACATTATACTGCTTCTGAGTTTATTTTTCCATTGTGTGAGGTTAATCATAAAATTGATGAAGGAAAAAAGGGGAGTGGTGTGTTAAGGTATATGTGGAGACAAAAAACGCTATCTATGGAGGCAAAGAAGGGAATGTATGAAAGTATAGTAGTACCAACACTCTTATATGAGTGAAGCTTGGGTTGTAAATGCTGCAGCGAGGAGGCGGTAGGAGGCAGTGGAGATGTCCTGTCTAAGGGCAATGTGTGGTGTAAATATTATGCAGAAAATTCAGTGTGGAATTAGGAGAAGGTGTTGAGCTAAAAAAGTATTAACCCTTTGACTGTTGCAAGCCCCTTTCTGAAACTGTCATTCTATGTCACAAAATTTTTGGAAAAAAAAAAAAAAATTACTTTTTCTTATGAAATGATACAGAATCTTTTCCCGATGGTAATGACACCAAAAGTACAAAATTTGGTCAAAATCTCACAGAATTATGCTCCCGCGAAGTTAGCGGTCTCGTCAGCATATACGCATCGGCTATTTCGCCGACTTTGAGCCCTGTTTTTGGCCAATGCCATTGTTCCAGTTGACCAAACTCAGCTATTTCTTTAGAACTCCATTTTTTCTATCAGTTGAGTACAAGAAACTGCCCATTTACCAATTTGAACTACCCAATAAAGTGGTCAGAAATTGGCAATTTGGCCAATTTCATGCAAATTAAAAAAGAAAGCCAATTTCAAAATAGGGTCCAGAATAAACAATGTAAACATTCTTGGCACTAAAATAACATATCCTCTGTTCCTTAGTCATATCTCTAGGCCCCTCTTATATTGCTATTGCTTTCTATTTTGATTTTTTATTCATACAAAAAATACAAAATTTACTGTTATGCAGACCACTGCATGGTATAAATAATATCAGTGCACTAGTGAAAGAATATTAGATTCCCCAGCTGATGTGTATTGGACGTGTGGTGTGATTTGCTTACTCCTGAACATTGGTAAAAATCAAACATTTCTGCTACTTTGAGCTCAATTTCAAGGTCGTTTTCATTGTGAAACTAATCAAAATCATCTCTGTTTCTGTAATATGTTTTCCATTTTATCGTGTGAGACCATGAAAACTAGAATACAACAATAAATACTATATAAAAAACACCTCAGAGTCGGTGTTTTAATCCAAAAAAACGGTCAGTTTTTTTTTTCTCATTATGCACTGCGTGCTGCAGGATTTTTTTTATGTGGTCCACACTGACCACACAGACCCATTCTCTCGCATGTGGGCTTACCATCTTTCTCCTGCTTGATTTGAAGCCGCTCTTAATACATCCGAAACACTGGCTCGTAAGACGTATATATACGACCAAAACAGTCAAAGGGTTAATCAAGGGCTGAAGAGGGGTTGTTGAGGTGGTTTGGTCATTTAGAGAGAATAGATCAAAGTAGAATGACATGGAGAGCATATAAATCTGTAGGGAAAGGAAGGCTTTGTAACTGTGAGTTCATTATCTTTGTACCTAGTTCAGCTATCAAAACTTTGGGGCCCAGTCCCTGGACCCATTATGTACCACTGTAATCTGTAAATACCTTTGTAGCTTGTCATGATTGTGACTAGACCTACCTGGAGTTCATTACCCTTTGTAAATTGTGAGTTCATTACCTTTGTAAATTGTGAATTCATTACCTCTGTAACTTGCTCAGCTAACAAAACTTTGAGGCCCAGTCCCTGGACCCATTAGTACCTCTGTAATCTTTTGACTACCGCCCACAGGATGGGTATGGGGTGCATAATAACATATTAAACTAAAAAAAGGAAGGCGGGGTAGGAGTCGTTCTCGAAAAGGTTGGAGGAGGGGGTAAAGGTTTTGTGGGCGATGGAAATGGGAAGTACAATGCCTGCACTTTAAAGGAGGGGTTTGAGATATTGGTAGTTTAGAGGAATGTGTTGTGTATCTTTATACATATATATTTCTAAACTGTTGTATTCTGAGCACCTCTGCAAAAACAGTGATTATGTGTGAGTGAGGTGAAAGTGTTGAATGATGAATGAAAGTATTTTCTTTTTGGGATTTTCTTTCTTTTTGGGTCACCTTGCCTTAGTGGGAGACGGATGACTTGTTAAAAAAAAAAAATTATACCATTTATTTCTACCTAATAAATCTAAGGCTCACCTCCAAAAATAATTATTACACCAGATACTACAACCCATTCTGCATAATAGCTACACCACACACTGCCTCAAACATACCATCCTTAACTGCCTCCAGCTTCCTCCTTGCTGCAATGCTTAAAGCCCATGCTGAACACCCATATAAAAGTGTTAATAATTATCAAAATAAATAAAAAGAAAAAAGAAAATAAATAAAAGTAAGCAAGTTGATTATGTTTTAAGAAACACAAGTGCATGCAGAACCATGAGAGAAAAAACATTTACCTAATTTTTCTAGTCATCTGTAATATTTTAGTAATAATCAATACTAAATTGTACTTGCCTCTGAATTGACTTGACAGTGTTCTTCAAAGTAGTCCACAGCAAAAGTAGCATCCTTCACAGTGACATAATTTGAAATCAGTGCCAGCAATGTCCATGCCTCCTCATTATATTCCTTGCCAATGTGAGATCGTGCTACAGTTATTATCTGAGGCCTGAACAAAAGGAAAAATAAACTCCTTCAAATATCACAAATATTTTATTAGAGACATCCTTAAGAATGGTTTACACAAAATCTTTTCTAAATAATGACCAGGTCTAAAAAAAAAAAAAAAAAGACCTTCTTTTCCACTTTTTCAGTCTATTCACCTGCCTTTCCAATCATCTCCTCCCATTCCAAGTGGAAAAGAATAATATCAGTAATTTTTTTTTAGGATACTTAGAGGATCTGTAACTCCAATTAACTATTAGCATAATAAGACAAACGAATGATAGTACAGTGGACCCCCGCATAACGATATTAATCCGTTCCTGAGAGCTCATTGTTATGCGAAATTATCGTTATGCGAATGAATTTTCCCCATAAGAAATAATGGAAATCAAATTAATCCGTGCAAGACACCCAAAAGTATGAAAAAAAATTTTTTACCACATGAAATATACATTTTCCTACACACAAAGAGAAGGATACATGCACAATAGTAGAGTAGTACATGCACAATATATATTGGGCATGTACTACTCTACTAAATGAAGAATAAATGACACTTACCTTTATTGAAGATGCAGCAATGACTGATGAGACACTGTGTCCTGGGAGTGCCTTTTCCTCCTGAGTACTGTAGGTCCTGTTTGGTATTTTCTTCCAGAACAGGCCTTATCACACTGTATATGCCACTACGATTCTTAAATCTCTCAAACCAACCTTTGCTGGTTTTAAAAATTCACCAATATGAGCACTAGTTCCAGGCGTTTTTCCCTGTTCACCTGGTGTTAGTCGACTGGTGTGGGTTGCATCCTGGGAGACAAGATTAAGGACCCCAATGGAAATAAGTTAGACAGTCTTCGATGACAATGACTTTTTTGGGTTATCCTGGGTGACTAACCCTCTGGGGTTAATTGTTTCTTGGTATTCTACAATAAGCCACACCAACAACGGTACTACAGCAGCAGCAGCGGCAGCAGCTGACAGTGCTACAGCAGCAGCAGACGATGCTACAGCAGCAGCAGACGGTACTACAGCGCAGCAGACGGTACTACAGCAGCAGCAGCGCTGACGGTGGTACAGCAGCAGCTGACAGTGCTACAGCAGCAGCTGACAGTGCAGCAGCAGCAGCAGCTGACAGTGCTACAGCAGCAGCAGACGATGCTACAGCAGCAGCAGACGGTACTCACACAGCAGCAGCAGCTGACGGTGGTACAGCAGCAGCAGCAGCTGAGGGTTGCTACAGCCAGCAGCAGCAGCAGCTGACAGTGCTGCAGAGCAGCAGCAGCTGACAGTGCTACAGCAGCAGCAGACAATGCTACAGCAGCAGCAGACGATGCTACAGCAGCAGCAGACGGTACTACAGCAGCAGCAGCAGCAGCAGACGGTACTACAGCAGCAGCAGCAGCTGACGGTGGTACAGCAGCAGCAGCAGCAGCTGACGGTGCTACAGCAGCAGCTGACAGTGCTACAGCAGCAGCAGCAGCTGACAGTGCTACAGCAGCAGCAGACGGTACTACAGCAGCAGCAGCAGACGGTACTACAGAAGCAGCAGCAGCTGACGGTGGTACAGCAGCAGCTGACAGTGCTACAGCAGCAGCAGCAGCAGCAGTTGACCATGGTACCACAGTATTTCGATAATATTTCTCACCCTTTTTACCACAGGGTTGGCACTAGAAGCTTTCTTGGGGCCCATGGTCACTTATTTTGCAGATAAAATCACCAAAAACGCTGTAATAATACGAAATGTTACGATTGTATGCTTGGATGTTACCGCGGAGGTTGCTTGTAAACAATTGCCACCGGCGGAACATGAGAGGCTGGCTCAGGCCGCACATTAGACGCGTCTCGGACGAATAGTGTTGAGCGGGTTTTTTAGCGGTATGCGAGGCAAAATCTTAGCGATAAAATGTATCGGTATGCGGATTTAACGTTATGTGATGCCAACGGTATGCGGGGGTCCACTGTACTGTATTTATGCAAAATATGGGAACCCAAGTTCTAGGTACTTAGTAGGGGTGGTAGACAGCAACTGCCCAGGGAGGTAAATACCGTCCTGCCATGTAGTGTAAAACGAAAGCCTGTAATTGTTTTACATGATGATAGGATTGCTGGTGTCTTTTTTTCTGTCTCATAAACATGCAAGATTTCAGGTGTGTGCTACTACTTCTACTTACACTTAGGTCACACTACACGTGCATGTACAAGCGAATATACACACACCCCTCTCTGGGTTTTCTTCTACTTTCTTACTAGTTCTTGTTCTTGCTTATTTCCTCTTATCTCCACGGGGAAGTGGAACAGAATTCTTTCTCAGTAAGCCATGTGTCATCAGAGGCAACTGAAAATGCTGGGAGCGAGGGGCAAGTAACCCCTTCTCCTGTATATATTACTAAATCTAAAAAGAGAAATTTTTGTTTTACTTTTTGGGCCAACCTGCTTCAGTGGGATATGGCCGGTTTGTTGAAAGAATTAGATATACTCTAAGTGTTTCTTCTTTTTTGGGCCACCCTGCCTAGGTGGGAAATGGCCAGCATGCCAAAAAAAAAAAAATTTAATCTAAGATTTGAATCTACACACGTTTTAGTAAAATGTGCTGTAAATTCTTACCTTAAATAAACTGATTTGGACCAAACATGTAGAGCTTTCTTAAAGAACTTGTGGTAGCTATGTTTTGTGATGACACTAAGTATCCGCCAAGGAAGTTTGTTCTCAGGTGTGTCTGACTGAGGATGCCCATGAACCATTAAGCAGTTAAACAGCAGCTGATGAAGAACCTGTTACAATCATACAAGTACATTAATATAACTATGTATGCAGTACATAAGAATTTGAAGCAGGATTTTGTTTATATGTTTAATGTGAAAATGATTTTGTGAGTAGAGAAAAAATATATAGATATTTGCAATTTCTGGGCTATGAAGCATTTAGGTGCAGTGCTCAAGGAAATTCATTTTTTAAACAGCATCACATAATACCTATCTCAAACAAAACAAAAGTAACTCAATCATTGCTATCCCCATCTTCCAATAAATAACATACCTTGCTCATTCATAAAGAATGCATTTAACCCTTTCAGGGTCCGTCCCGTAGATCTACGGCTTTACGTTCAGGGTCCAAACCGTAGATCTACGCCATGAGCTCAGCTCACTCTGATAAACTGGGAATGGTACATTTGGGCCTAGATATGAGAGAATACATCTATGTGGTAAGTGTGCACCACATAAAAACAGATCCTGCAGCACACTGTGTAAAATGAGAGAAAAAAAATGAAATCATGATTTTTCGATTAAAACAGCAACTTTGCAGTGTTTTTTCGTATGTTTTTTATAGTTGTATTTGCGATTTCTTGGTCTCATTTGATAGAATGGAAGACATATTACAGAAATAGAGATGATTTTGATTGGTTTTAGCACTGGAAATGGCTTGAAACTGAGCTCAAAGTAGCAGAAAATGTTAAATTTTTTGCCGATATTCAAGAGTAAACAAACGACCTCACACGTCTAATACACGTCAGCTGGTGGTCTAATATACATTCACAAATATGGTGAATGAATTTATACAATTATTACAGTATTGCATAACAGTAAAATCTTCCTATTTTTTGGTGTGAATAAAAATTCATTATGTGAATAAAAAATCAAAATGGAATTTATTTGTAAAGCCTCAAAACATAACTAATGAATAGAGGAAATGTTAGTTTAGTGCCAGGAATCCCTACATTGTTCATTCTGGACCCTATTTTGAAATTGGAATATTTTAAACTTTGTGTTAAATTGGCCAAATTAACAATTTCCGATCATTTTAAATTTTGTAGTTGAAACAGTTGACTTGGCGATTTCTTGTGCTCAATCGATAGAATAGAAGTAATACTATGAAATAGCTAAGAATTTGGTTGATTGGAATAATGTAATTGGCCTAAAATGGGAGTCAAAGTCGGCAAAATCGCCGATTCGTAAATATCGCTGACACATCAAAATTCGCGAGAGCATAATTTCGTCAATTTTCCATCAAATTTCGTACTTTTTGTTTTATTACCTTCACAAAAAGATTCTCTAACGATTTCATAAGAAAAAATAACAAATTTTTTTTTGAAAATTCTTGGACACTGGTGCGTGACTCCAGATTTGGGCCTTGGACCCTGAAAGGGTTAAAGATCTAGACCTCCTGCCTCTCTTCCCTCTAATAAGCAAACACATTAACCCATCACTGAACGTCGCGTAAAGCTACATCATTGAAGCCAGGATCCCTCGCCTAATACTATGTCATTAGCTCAGCTCACACAGATAAGCTGTGAATGGTAAATTTTGACCTAAATATGAGAGAATATGTATGCAGAGTATAAAAAAAAATCCTGCTCCACATTGCGCAATACGAGATTGAAAAAAATCTCTGGCTGTGTAAACAACTTAAAATAGCGACTTTTGGGGTTTTCTCAGGTTTTTATTGTTGTATTGGCTGTTTCTTGTATCATTTTATAGAATGGAAGACATACTACTGAAATAAATATATTTTGATTGATTTCAGGACCAGAAATACCTTGAAATCGAAATCAAAGTAGCAGAAATATTTTATTTCACTGATATTCCTGATGTTAATGGGCTTTTAATAGGCCAAACTGAATTACTGTAACAGTGTAAACCCTAACCAATCATTGCTAGTTACATTTTATTATCCAAGAAATAGAGTAAAGCTTCTATTTTTGTGATTAACCCCATGACTGTTACAACCCCAAATCCTGAAAAGTCTCCTGGTGTCAAAAAAATTTAAAAAGAAAAAGAAAAAAAAAATCTTATGAAATGATAGAGAATCTATTCCCGATGATAATGACACCAAAAGAATGAAATTTGATGGAAAACTTATGGAATTACACTCTCACAAAGTTAGCGACCTCCGCGATATTTACGAATCTGCGATTTCGCCCATTTTGAGCCCTATTTTCGGCTAATTCCATGTTCCAGTAGACAAAGTATATATACGTCAAACATGGTGGCTCGTAAGACATATAATACGACCGAAACAGTCAAAGGGTTAAGAATTTAAAATGGAAGGTAAGTGTAATATAGAAGAGGGCCCGGGACAATGATTAATGAACAGAGGAAATTTTTTTAGTGTCAGGAATATGTACATAACTTATTTTGGACTCTCTAACCCTCTGACTGTTCTGGTCGTATATATGTCTTAAGAGCCACCGTTTTTGACGTACATATACTCATAAATTCTAGTGGCTTCAAATCAAGCAGGAGAAAGCTGGTAGGCCCACATATGAGAGAATGGGTCTGTGTGGTCAGTGTGCACTATATAAAAAAAATCCTGCAGCACGCAGTGCATGAGAAAAAAAACTCCGACCGTTTTTTTTCAATTAAAATGCCGACTTTGTGGTCTATTTTCGTAGTATTTATGGTTGTATTCTTGTTTTCTTCGTCTCATTTGATAGAATGGAAAACATATTATAGAAATAGAGGTGATTTTGATTGGTTTTACTATGAAAAGAACCTTGAAATGGAGCACAAAGTAGAGGAAATGTTGATTTTTGCTGATGTTCAAAAGTAAACAAATGATGTCATTTTCCAATATATGTCCAAGTAGCCTCTAATATGCAGTCATGAATGAGTTGACATTATTTATACAATTACAATATTGCAGTACTCTCCATAACAGTAAATCTTCTTTTTTTTGTTTGAATAAAAATTCAACATAGAAAGCAAGAGTAATATCAGAGGAGCCTGGAAACATGACTGATGAACAAAGAAAATGTTATTTTAGAGCCAGGAATGTCTGCATTGTTCATTCTGGACCCTATTTATGAAATTGTCATATTTTTTAATTTTCGTGAAATTGGCCAAATTGCAAATTTCTGACCATGTTATTGGGTAGTTGAAATCGGTAAATTGGCAGTTCTCAATTGTACTCAATTGATAGAAAAAACAGAGTTATAAAGAAATAGCTATGAGTTTGGTCGACTGGAACAATGGAATTAGCCGAAAATAGGGCTCAAAGTGGGCGAAATCGTCGATTTGTCCATATCGCCGAAGTCACTAACTTTGCAAGAGCATAATTCCATCAGTTTGCCATCAAATTTCTTTCTTTTGGTGTCAATACAATCGGGAACAGATTCTCTATCATTTCATAAGAATTTTTTTTTTTTTTTTTTTTTTTGGAAATTTTTCGACACCATGAGACAACCTCAGGATTTGGGGTTGCGACAGTCAAGGTGTTTAATTGGTATTTTTTAATTTAGTATAAAATTGGCCAAATTACCACCTCTGTACACCGCAAAACAACAGTTGAAATAGTTGAATGGGTGGTTTCTTGTGTTCAATTAATAAAAGGACGGCATACTAATGAAATAACTAAGAATTTGGTCAAAAGGAATTGGCTTAGAATAGGACTCAAAGTTGGCGAAACTGCCAATGCACAAACTGTGCTGAGATCGCTAAATTTATGCCTGTGTAATTCTGCAAGTTTTCTATCAAATTTCATACTTACTGGTGTTATTATCTTTAGAGAAAGATTCTCCACCATTTCAGGTTTCTTTTTTTAAAGTGGACACTGAGAGAAATATTAATTTCAGCGGTCTGAACAGTTAAAGGGTTAATGCCATGATACTTTATTTGTGTTTCTCAATTACGGGCATTAGATCATGACCAAAAATGCAGGCATCTCTAATATATCTCTTTGGCCTTTATGCAAGATTAACATAAAGCTTGCAGTGGGATATAAATAATAAATGGAAAATGGCAATGACATGCACATTTTCACCAAGCTTTTACAATACAGTGGACCCCCGCTTAACGATCACCTCCCAATGCGACCAATTATGTAAGTGATATTATGTAAGTGCGTTTGTACGTGCATGTTTGGGGGTCTGAAATGGACTAATCTACTTCACAATATTCCTTATGGAACAAATTCGGTCAGTACTGGCACCTGAACATACTTCTGGAATGAAAAAATATCGTTAACCGGGGGTCCACTGTAATTTGAAATGGCAAAGAAGTAAAGAACTTGTAGATACTGTACATTTACTGTGTCATCCAACTACGTACTGTGAGGGAAAAGTTCAATAGATAGGAGTAGCGAGGGAGTATATAGTAACAATAGTTTCATTGCCGGCTACTTGTTAAGGTAGGGTAAGTCCAGTTCCCGCTATTCCCCCCCTTTTCCCCCTCCCCGAAAGTGATAGTTTGATTGCCGGCTGCTTGTTAAGGTAGGGTCAGTCTAGCTCCCGCTATCCCTTCCCCTCCCTTCTCCCCCCCCCCCCGAAAGGTGACGTGTGGGGCTCCGGTCAAACAGTAAATCACTCGACTCACAGCTCCCAACACTACTCTTGAAAGGACAGAGAGGGTCACCTGCTAATCAACGAGTAGAAATTGAAGGAGGCGGACTAAACGTTCTGAGGCGCCCCAAATTTCTGATCCACTTACCTGTTTGTGTATGCAAGTACAGGATAAAACCCCCTCATCATTGCAGTGGAAAAAAACCTGCTTTCCTGTATCTGGACGGATTATTGACGGCTAGAAAATCTGGAAGAACGACCCGGGTGGGTTGTCATCAACACCAGTTGACTCCCCCCCATCATCGGCAAGGGCTACATTTCAACAACACGCAGTCCCCAACCAACACCAGACACCCAAGTTTTATATATATTAGTTAGCATTGAATTCAGATATCATTTATATTTTTCATTTTTCATTTTCTTAAGGGTAGGATTAATATTTCATATTTAAGTGTTTATTATTTAGAAAATAAAAAATATAAAAGTTTTTAAATGTTT